AATGGAACACCCTATATTTATTTCCTAAATGGATCGTCCTAAAAATCCTACATACTTTTTGTTAAGAAGAGGCCCCTTGCATCAAATTTTTTTATTGCTGATTTGATAGTCCATGAAAAATAAAGTCAACACGTGTTTTTCTTTTTCTTCTTAGTCAAAAATTGACGGAGATACAACGCTATGAAATATGCCTATGACGTCACTTATTATATAAATTAGTGACGTCGCACATGCTCAGTATGTCTATATATACAAAACTTAATATTTGTATAACTTCCGGAATAATCATATTTGTGCGAAATAAAAAAAAAGTAACGTTTTTTTTTCGTATTCCCATAGTTTGCAATAAACAATAATCAATTTAATTTTCCATGCAAGTACCCTATTACCTATACCAAAACTCAACCGTTTTTGAAATAATTTAAAGTTTTTCGAAAAATCACAGTTTGCATAAGTGTTTACAAAAACCAACATATTTCATCTATTCGAGATCCTATAAACTAAATCTTTTGCAGGTTGTTAGTGCATACGTACATTTACTTTATGGTCCTATGAAAATTAGATAACACACTTTTTTTTTTTTTTCCCCTTTTACAGCTTTGTCAACGAGAATTTTGTTCTTAGACAATAAAGCATTTTTTGACTTTGACTCTAGAGTAGAGGATGTTCGCAATACGTTACAGAAAACCAGACATTTCAAACAACCATAGTTTTAAAATAAATGGAATGCTCTTTATTTTCTTGTTTAAAATTTTTTCACAAGCAATAAGCTTCCTATTTTTTAAAATATTTCCTATCCTTGAATATGATAATTATTGAGTTTATTAGACTTTTTTCTATTTTCTCCTTTAAAATCCACAATAAGTAGTCATGTGTCAATTGATTTTTATGTAATTATTATTTCCATAAAGTAACAATTTTTCTAATTCACATATTATGACTATTTTGGATTTTAAGGAATAAATTTGAAAAAAGATGAAGAAACTCAATAATTATCACAGTTAAGTATAGGACATAATTGCTTATTGCTTGGTAAAAAGTTAAAACAAAAAAAATAAAGGGCATTCCTTTAAAAAAAAAATGAGCTATGGTTGTTTGAAACGTCTGGTTTTGTGTACAGTATTGCGAACACCCTGTAGAATGTGAGAGTGTAAAACCCTTGGTGAAACCTGAACGGTCAATTTTAGAGCAAAACCGATCATACATTCTAGTCACAGTTTTCCATAAACTATCGTTTGACACCGACTTGGAATCTAATCCATGATTAAAAATTCCGGGTAAATTTGGAGGATTCGAATAGGTATTCGAATATTCGACTATTCGAATTATTCAGCTATTCGAATAAAATACCAAATGACTATTCGAATACTTGAATTTTAAAAATTCCGAGCCCAAGTATGTTCCTTATAATTAGTGCAGCTTCTAAAACTTAAATAAAAAAAATAAAAAAATTTAAAAAAAGTTAAATACAAAAGTTGTAGGGTTATCTTTATTATCTTTTGCACATGTCAAAATGGAAAAATGACAAGTGCCAAGTGCCATAATGAGGAACACTTGCATTTTTTTAAATGGAACACCCTGTATATTTTTGGCTAGAACAATAATTATTTTCGAGGGGGAAACCACCTTAGAATTTTGGTGTACAAACTGATAGAATTTTTAGAATTTCTTAGAATTTTTTAGAATTATCAGTATTTTTTAGCATTTTTTAGTATTTTCTAGCATTTCCTAGAATTATTTAGAATTTTTTAGTATTGTTTAGAATTGAATTAGAATTTTTTAGAAATAATTTAGAATTTTCACCTATTGCGCATGCTCAAGAGCCTGCGCACTGCGCAATCTGTAGGGATTTTTGGAATTTTTTTTGAATTTTTAGAATTTTTGAGAATTAGCGGGTGATCTGTTATAAATTTCACCCCCTTCCAACTTTTTCATTTGACATTTTTTATAAAAGTGTCAAATACAAAAGTTTCAATAAATTGACCTTTTGTTTCGACGCCATATTGCGGTGCGCGAACATAGTTGCCAAAACAAGAAAACCAAAAATTACTAGCGGGCTGTCAACTAGATATTTTATTATTTCTATTTTGCCCAATACAAGCTAAAATTGATGGCTTTTCTTTCCAAAAACATTCGCAATAGGCGGCAAATTTAAATTTTAAATGTAATTTATTCACTAACTTTGGATTTTAAAGTTGACAGAACGCTAGTAATTTTTTTTTCTACTGTTGGCAACTATGTTCGCGCACCGCAATATGGCGGCCAAACAAAAGGTCAATTGTCAAAAGTTTTTAACTAAAGTTCATTTCACGGAACGAGATAGTGAAAGTAAACAAACATTGACAGATAAGTCGAATTTTATTGGCTAGAAAAGGATTATTCTCCGCCCTAGGCAGAACCATCTTAGGTTGTTTTGTATTTCTCTTCTCTGAATATATTTCCGAACCAATTCTTCAGCGGAATCTATTGAACTTGATATTGTTTTAATCTAAATTGCTCACTAATTAACAATAATTCACCAAACACTATTTAAATAATTGTAAAATACTAGGAAATACGACATTAAACTTATTGACTCATATGACAACCTGACAATAATAAATGTCATTAGTTGTAAGTAATTCATATTTTTGCAGTCCTTCTCTGAATTTTTAAGCTCCGCCTGTTTGTTTACCTCCACTATCTCGTTTCGTGGAATGAACTTTAAGTCAGTTTTAGACATACAGGGTGTGTCAAAAAAGTGTAGCAGTGTGAAGTTATATTTTTTTAAATGGAACACCCTGCATATTGTGCGCTTCGAGGTGCGCTTATTTGTTAGTCCCTTTTAACCTGATTTCAACGATATACGATTTGATATATCTATCTTCGATATTTATAGGGAAAAACATGAAAACCCCTTTCAAGGTTTCATATTGAAAAAAGAGAAATTATACCATTTAAGCTTTACAGAATTTTTTTTATGAACAGTTCATTGTTCAAATTTTATTCATTAATATACAAGGTGAAATATTATAATAAATTCAGGTGTCTAAGTTATTATTATTATTTTTGAAAAAATAACATTAGAGACCTAGCAAGGGATTTTCGCGTTTTTCCCTATAACTATTGAAGATAAACTGAGAGATTAACATATCAAACCGTATATCGTTAAAATCAGGTTAAAGGGGACTAACAAATAAGCACAGGGTGTTCCGTTTTAAAAAATATAACTTCATACTGCTGCACTTTTTTGACGCACCCTGTATGCCTTAAACTAACTTTAAAGACTTTTGACAATTTCTTAAAACTTTTGTATTTGACACTTCTGTCAAAAACGTCAAATGATAAAGTTAGCAGGGGGTGACATTTATAATAGATAACCCTGTACAAACTGATAGAATTTTTAGAATTTCTTAGAATTTTTCACAATTATCAGTATTTTTTTGCATTTTTTAGTATTTCCTAGCAATTTCTAGAATTATTCAGTATTTTTTAGAATTGAACTAGAATTTTTTAGAATTAATTTAACGGCCAATTTTATAATAGAGAATTGAAAGTTACTTTAGCTAAATAGACTTTTAGGATAGGATTTTTCAACTTCAAATGGAACTTTAAATTTAAAGTTTACTTTAAGTTGATCATGAAATTGGCCGTTAGAATTTTTATCTATTGCGCACGCTCAAGAGCCTGCCCAATTTGTTGGGATTTTTGGAATTTTTTAGAAATTTTAGAATTTTTTGGGACAATAATAACATGAAAATTAGCATTTTTCAGAATTTTAGAATTTTTGGTGTACAAAATGAGGTAGGTGGATTCCCCCTCGATTATTTTCTTCTGATTCCTAATATAGGTACCTACCACATAAGTATGTTGATATTTGGGTCAGCTGTTTTTGTGGTATTTAAGTTAAGTAAGCTTCACCCACCATTGATATGAGGAACCAGGTACAGACCTAATTAAGGGTAATGTAAATGCATTTTTAAACTTAAATAGTGTAAAAACAGATTAACCAAATATCAACATATATGGAACATATATGGTATATGTATTGTATTTGGAATAAGAAGAAAAAAATCTATCATTCTTTCTAAAAATATACAGTGTGTTCCATTTTAAAAAATGCGAATGTTTGTCATTATGAGAGTTGGCACTTGTCATTTGCCGGTTTTAACATGTGCAAAAGATATTTATTTATTTATTTTCAATATTTATTTATTTATAGATAATAGAGATAAAGCCCTACAACTTTTGTATTCAAATTCAACTTTTTTTTAAGTTGAAGAGCCACAATAATTACAAGGAACAGGCCCTGTACCTACATATTTGAGCAAAAAATGTTCATTACCAGACAACTACAATGATTATTATAAGTAGAGATGGTTGGGAATTTTGGGGAGAAATGAAAAATCTGAGGAAAAATCTCTTAGAAATTTTGAGAATTATCAATTTTTTTTTTCAGAAATGTGAGAAATTTCATAGGAAATCAGTAATTAGGTATTTGGGAAATTTAGGAAATTATTTAGGAAATTTTAGGAAATGCTTAAAAAAATTCTGAATATTCATAGAATTTCGTAAGTTATGGGCAATATCAGGAAAACATTTCCAAAAAGGGAATAGGTGTACAAAATTTAAGAGTGTGAGACACCCCTCGGGATTACTATATGACTAGGTTTACCAACTTACATGTTTTTCAAAAACTGACAAATAATATGAATTTAAAAGTCTTCTCTCATATCTTTCAACTTCTGCAGTTTGTATGGGATCCTCTCCCTCAACTATCATTTTTTTATCCATTGCCCTATACAATTTCTGTAGAATATTGTTATTTTTAAAAAAATATTCAAATTCAGATATTCAGACTAATTCTGTTAAGGTTAGGTAGGTTTTAGATTGAGATCATTGAGAATACGAATACCTCTTCTGTCAAAACTAAGAACACAACTTTCTGTCAAAAACAATCAGCACTATCCACCATCTAGTGAAAAATAAGTTATTGAACAATAAATATACACTCAACTTACCTTTTCCAAAAGGTTGGCAATTTGATAGGATACACAAGCCATGGTGCGAATTTTCGTTTAAAAAGCCTCAAAGTAACTCACAGTAATTTTAGTTAGGTACTTTAATAAAAAATTAAAAAACTAAGCAATGAATAAACAAATAAATTAAAAGAACAAGTTTCTAGGTTAGGTCCTTAGAAAATGATTTATCATATTTTCACTATTAAAAAGACAATTAAGACGCAAATGAAATAATTATAATTTAATAAGTTTTAATATTTTGGTTGGTAAATAAGAAAAATTTAAAAATCAAAATTCAACCCCCAATCGATTTAAGAAAATCCAAAACAAGTCAAGTCCACTCCACAAAGGAGCCTAGGACCAAGAATTCAAGAAAAATGGCACTTAGCGCACTGCGCAATGACATATGTCATCATACCGTGCGTTCGGTATTATGATCTGGTCGGGGATTCTAAAATCACGATTCGACATACGATTCGACAACGAGACGATTTTTCCGACGATTCTAGGTTAGAAATCTCATTGGAATTATAGCTTTCGACACGACAAGGCCGGTATCGTTGTCGAGTCGTGTGTCGAATCGTGATTTTAGAATCTCGGCCCTGAGTTCTCCGAGCTTGTATTTACCGTTCGTTTATTAGAAAAGTATATTCGGTGCAGGCTCATTCGCGTTCGCTTATTAAAATTTCGGGCACTCTGATACATCGTTTAACTGCTCTGTGCGCTCGATGGTCACCTGACTACGGCTCCGCTCTGCACGCTCTGCTCTTTGAGCAAAATACCAAACGCAAGGATAGTTGTATTCCTTTCAAGAGTTTAGAACACTCGAGCTACTCGCTCCGGTGTTAGTCGCCCCCAAGGATAATACACACTACTACTACAGGATAGCCTCCCCTCATACGGCCTGTGTGGAACAAATCTGAAGACCCTCACCACGCCAAATCACCAGTTGTGACGTAGGCAGCATGGTATTTCTCGCCTTGACGTAGGCTGTTTGCAAGGAGAATAAACTTACTAAGGAGTGCTTATCGGCCCCTTTTTGGGTAATTGCCGCCATATTGGTTTTCAACTGTTTCCAACCACTGCTGACGTCATAACAAAGTCGCCAGCTGTTTGCGCCAGCGGTTTTATAAATGTATAATTTGTCATGAAAAATATTTTATTTTGATTTTGATTAACCATTATAGCGGGTAAAGGTACCCTATGCTATGATGGAACCAGTAGCGCGATATCTGGCTAGCTTTCGTCATTCCGCCTATTTACACGTTTTCAGCATGTATGATTTAATGGAGCCCTAGGAGAATTACGCGGCGTTTTGTTTACATTTCTTTATGTAAGTATAATAACTATAAGATAATTTATTCTATACTATTTAATTGTTTTTAGGGTTTTCTCATATTATTATAACATATTCCTATTCGAGCATAAATTGTTTGTTTATGTATTATATTCTTGTAAATATTACTGTCCCATATGGCATATGGGCCTGGGCAGAAGCTAACATTTTTAGCTGTAGGTACTTACATTTTGTTTGTGGAATTAGCCATCAGGAAGCTTTGAATACTGCTTATGATAATGAAAATGTTGATGGCATAATATATCGAAGCACAGAAAGCAAAGAGCTCACTGACTAAGATTCAGCAGATGAGGAATGTGGTTTTGACTTATCTACTAGGCAACTTTTGTGCTAGTGCAGAAATTGTTTATTCGAATGGGAAATATATCACAGGTAGAGTAGAATTAACAATTTTTTGGGAAATCATACAATTTTAACTTTATTTTTATTTTCAGACATACCTGAGGAAATATAAAGTACCACCTTGCGCTACAGGAGAATATGCTTCGGGCTGCAGCAAGTGATTTTTGAGTCAATAATGATATAAGGTATTATGGACTGCATCATTATTGAAACACTTTTCCTGAACGTAAAAAAAACGATGTGGTGGTCAAAACTGTAGCAGCCGAGGAAGAACAATGTGCTGCAAATGCAATATCGACTTATTTATTCACTGTTCTCGAAAGTTTCACACTGGGTAATAATTTTCACCCATAATGCTGCTCGTGATGATGCAGGCCAAAATTCATTATAATCTATTTCGTTTATCTGACCCGAAATGATTATATCTATACAACAGCCTAACCGGATCTTTTTCTTATATTTTTGTAAACTTTCTACAATAGGACATTGCCAAAAGGGTCTCAAGGCTGGTATGGATCTCCCTTATAATGTCTGTATTTGAATAACTTGTATGTGTAATAAATAAATAAACATTTTAATAAATAACTCTTTATTTTTATTTATAAATAGGTGAAAATTAAATTAACAAAGTCAAATAACTTGACCACAAATCTGATTTTTACTCGAACTACCTATAATATAATACTGGTAATTAGGATTTAATAAACACTTTACACGTTCTGCTGTTTGCTCGGCCATTTGTATGCCTATCTGAGAAGAATTTAATAATTGATTAAAAGTATAACTACATTCATTACTTGTATCAGTCTCACTAGAATCTTGATTTCTTTTTCTTTCGGCAAGTTTTTCAGCACCCATGGAATCTATTTTTTGGCTCGGTTTATGGATCACTATAGAAGAGGGCAAATTCTGGGATGGTACAACTGTTTTTTTCAATATCCGACCTCTACCTGTACCTCTAAAGGGTGGGTATTATAAAACTACTTTGAGAGTTAACTTAAAGTTAACTTCTGGAATTACATGTAATTCAAAAAGTTAACTTTAAGTTAACTGTCAAAGCAGTTTTATAATACCCGCCCTAAGACCTGTACTCTCACCTGTAAATAATAAAAACAGTCAATATTTTCAAACAAAACATTTTAAAAATAGATAGTACTTGATAAATGCCTAAAAGCAGGCCTAAAATGAAGCTAGGGCACAAAACTATCCATTATGCTTGTTTACCTTAACACAAAATTCTTGCTTAATTGAGATGCAGAGAATACACTTTCATGAATTTGGTGACTGGTTTGCCAATACGAAGTTTTAAAATCCAGAAGGCTTTTCTTCTCGACACTTCTTTTTCCATTTTCGTTTCCAAATAAACCCGTGGGCCTGTTTCAAGGGGAAATATGTAGAAACTCAATCCTTTGTCAGCTTTTTTTTTTAGCCCAAGACTTGCATTGAGGAACACAACAGTAATGATTAAAAGTCATGATTATATGTATCTGATATAATTTTATAATTTTAGACTTTAATTATACTAGAAACTAGTTCCATAATTTCCAGCCAGCAGCCAGATCATAACATAACCTGTGGTGCAAACAGCCTACGTCAAGACGAAAAACGCCATGATGTTTACGTCACAACTGATTTTTTGGCTTGGCGGGGTAGGGGGGGATTTGTTACACACAGGCCTTATGAGGATAAGCCATCCTTAGTAGTGTGTATCATCCTTGGGCTGTTTGCACTACAGGATATGATTCATCTTCTTCTTTGCCTATTATCACAGCCTCCTATAGTTAACAAGCCATGAAGTTGGAAATGACGGCAACGTCGCGTATGGTGCTATTTTGTTATTGGGTTATGTGTTTCTGTGTATTGCTTTCATTGTGTATTGTTGCAATTTAGTATTTTTATGGGCATTATTGACGAAAAAGTGGATAGAAACACACCAATATATTGCCCATATTATCACCTGTTCCTTTGTGCTTTGATTGCAAATTTTTAGCAAATGGGTACAGGAGCAAAAATGAAGGTAAGGTAAGGTAAAACAATGAAAACAATATTAATATTTGTCTGCAAGAGCATAGGTCTCGATATATTACCTAAAATATTTAAACTTGTTCCAGATGCCATGAAACTACTGTGTTCCTGGGTGCAAATCGAACTATTAGGAGTTCCTTAAAAACTGAAGAAATGCAAACATTTTTATTTCCAAAAAAATTCGGAAGTGCAAAAAATGTGGATGAAAGCAATACACCAAGATAATTATACCTTAGATTATACAATAACGAAAAATTCTGTGGTGTGTTGTAAACATTTTGAAGAAACCGAAATAATTAGATTTGAAACAAACAAGGATAAAGGCCTAGTTCGAGAGTTCAAACTAAAACGTCCAACTCTTAAAAGTAGGTACCTCTTATTTTCGAAAATCAGCTCAAGTATTTGAATGGACTTGCCTTCCGAAAAAATCCCGAAGAAAGAAAAAGTTAGATTTTCAAAAGACATACTGAAACATAGGCCTATAACACTTTAGACTCTAGAAATATATTCATTTAAATCAATTATTTACTGTTCTTATGGCCGTTTCCACCAACTATTTTAGGGGATCCTTAACGATAAGTATTCCCTAAACTGACATTTCTCCATATAAAAAGGTCATTTTAGGGAATACTTATCGTTAGGGCTCCCCTAAAATAGTTGGTGGAAACGGCCATTATTTACACAAATAGTTAAATTATTCATTGAATTACTGTTTTTGGCCCTTTAGTACAATAAATTATGCATTTTTTGTGATTCATATTAATAAAATAAAAAATATATATTTATACAAACAAACACCACCAGCACCACTTGGCGGTAAGATTGCGGTGTTGCCTTTTTAACTTCATGGCTTGTTAAATGTAGGAGGCTGTGCTATTATGGTAATCAAAATTAAATAATAGAGAGTTCTCGTGCTGTCCAAATTTCAAATACCGTAACGTTATTTGACAAGTATGACAGTTCTTACGGTATTAGCGTTAGCGGAGCCCGCTACGTAACGCGAGTTAGCGGATGCCTTACCGTAACGCTATCCTATGTCAAAATTGGTTTACGCTCCATTTATGTCTGCAAGAACAGCAACTTCTAATAATTCCTCTATGAAAAACACCAAGGAAAAAATTATCAAACTCAGAATCTTCAAGATAATAATAAGTAAGAAAACAAGCACAAAAAAGTTGGGTTAGATCACTCAACTCACCTTTCAAAATGTAAACAGAATAAGGGATTAGAGGATTTTTGTGTCTTCATGTTCGAGAACTATAAAATACCATGTTAAATACCGTATTGTTAGCGGTACCGTATTAGCGTAGCGTCTGAGGCACGAGAACTCTCTAATATTTTTCATCATAAAGGATAACGTACACCTAATATGGAATTTTTGGGCACTATGGATTTTGCCCATTTTTTGATATGTTGTAGATTGTAGAGGATTTAATAGACCTATATCTATTTTACCTGGTATGCGCGCGCAACACGAGGCAATGAATTTTTATTGGCCAACTAGTACAGGTGTAAAATGTTCGTTTTGCACGCTGGGCATCTCCTTGTCCTTGTTCATTGCCCGTGGTCTGACAAGGATAAAAGTACGGTTGATATTCAACTTGACATGTGACATTCTAAAGTTGT